AGAAGAAAAGTCCAAGGGTGCTAACTCTCTGGCAGACTTTGAGGAAAGAAATGAGGGGCGTAGATGAAGTCCCTGAGAAATATGGACCAGATGATTGCCAATTTCATTGGCAACATCTAGTGGGTTTGCTATATCAACACCGGCAACCCGCAGAACAGGAGCCGGGTCAGGAGAATATTTACCACTCAGTTTTCGTACTTTTTTCCAGACTGCACTCATAGAGGAAGCAGAGGTGATGGTGGAGACATAATCTCGCCAGCAAGTGCATTTAGCGTCACGGATGACACGGCGAGCGATCGCACGCTTCTGCTTAAAATCAAGAAGTCTCTCTGTGGTTCTATTGTACCGGTACCTGCCCCATGCAGCGTGTTTCAAACGTACTGCACGAGCACAAGCAGGAGACCACCAAGGCACGCATTTCTGAGAATGCCTGCCCGAAGTTTGGGGTATAGAATGAGAAGCTGCTGTTAAAACGGAGGACGAGAAGAGGTGTAAAAGCTCATCGATGGAGGACGAAGAAGGAACCTCTCTAAAAACAGTTAGGTGTGAGTAAAGGTTCCAATTTGCCTGATCAAATTGCCAGCGTGGGATGCGAAGAGGTGGTGATTATGAAGAGGAAGTAAGAATGATTGGGAAATGATCGCTGTCATGTAAGTCCGGGAGAACAGACCAAGTGAAGTCTAATGCGGTGGAGGAAGAGCAGACTGAGAGATCGATGCAAGAGAGAGTGTGAGTCCGAGGATCAAAATGGGTGTGAGTACCTGTATTTAAAACATGGAGGGGGTGGGTGGCAAGAAAAGCCTCTAACTGAATGCCACGGGAATCAAAGTGAGACCCCCCCAGAGGAAATGGTGGGCATTAAAATCACCAAGTAACAGAATCGGTGGCGGTAATGACGAAACAAGAAAGGCAATATCCGGAATAGATAATGCCCGAGAAGGAGAGAGATATAAAGAAGAGCGTATACCACCTATGCAGTGGATACGGGCTGCTGTGTAATGCAGCGAAGTACGAACAAATAGCTGATGGTACGGAATATCAGTGCGTAGAAGAAGGGCACTTTCATTAAAGGTCCCATCAGGAAAATTATCTGAAGAATACAATAAATTATAGCCTGAGATGGGAGAGATAACAGTAGAGTGTAATTTTGGTTCCTGTAAGCAAACACCAACAGGGGGAAACTGGGAGAGTAAAATCTGAAGCTCACCCCGATTACCCCTGAGGCCGCGTATATTCCACTGTAAATAGGCCATGATTGGCAATGATAAAGATACCTGAAATCCGCAGGTAAGGGTTCCTAGGGACTAGAGGGGTTAGAAAAGTCCACATGCGGAGGCAGTGGAAAACGTTCAAGCAGTGAAGGAACGGTGCGCTGTGAAGAAAGGAGTTGCGCAGATGGAGCAGAGGAGAGAGAAGGAGCGGAGGGTGGATCAGTGTCCATTGATGGTTTGGTCTCTGCAGTATATTCAGAGATTGCTTCAAGTGTTTCGGAATTCAGAGACGTCATATGGGAGACAATATTGGAAATGGTAGGGGGAGGATGAGTAAAGATTGGAACTGTATTGGACTGTACCAAGGTAGGGGGGAGGGGCGAAAGGGTGGAGGGAACTGGAGAAGCGTGGAAGGGGACAGAAGAGGCAGAAACCTGGGAGGTGGCAGAAGAGGAAGAAACTTGGGAGGGAACAGGGGAGGAAGGTACAGTATGAGGAGGAGGGTGAACCTCTACACTTGTAACAGAGCCAGTGAGAGGGGGAGAACCAGGTACAGGGACAGGGAAGGTAAAATGAGGAGGTGGAAGATGGGTAGGAGGTGTTAACGGACCTTTTTTTTACTTTTGAGAAGTAGAGGGACGATTGGGAGGAGGTATCATACGAGATCTCGTCGCTACTGAGGCGTTGAAGTAGGGACGTCTGAGCCGAGGACAGCAAAAGAATTAGATACAGGAGTGACTATGGGAGAGGTAACCACAGAGGTGGGTGCAGAAGATGGGATACCAGAAGTGGGGGGACGTTTTGAAACACGGGAATAAGAAACACGAGGTAGTCTCCCTTGGAGGCGGAGATGAGAAACTGCCATGGCATAAGAGAGACCTTCTGCCTCTTTGAGGTAACGGATTTCCCGCTCGTTTAAGTAGACTTGACAACGGCGAGAGTATGAAGGGTGAGCCTCATGACAATTAAGGCAAGAGGGAGGTCGATTGCAAGACGTATTAGAATGGTCATCGGCACCACAGACTGGGCATTCGGCGATAGATCTGCAATATTTCGCTGGATGGCCAAATCACCAGCAATTTCTACACTGTTGCGGTGTAGGGATCACCTTTCGAACTTGTAACCGATGTCCTGCTACATAAACTGAGGATGGGAGTTCACGGCTGTCAAAAGTTAAACGAGCCACATTGCTAGGGTATCGTCTCCGCCCGCGGGCAGGAAGAACGTAAGTGTCTACCTTGAGGATTGGGAGATCTTGGAGTTCCAGCTGTTCAAGAATGTCAGTGCCACATGTCTGGAAATTTTGTTGAACTATGGTATGGGGCAGAATGACGGTACCACTACAAGAATTGAGGGAATGATGTTTTTCAAGAGTGACAGGAACAGTATCGATATGGGAAAGACGAGAAAGCTCATGAGCCTGGGTAGCATTCTGTATGGTGATGATGCACGTACTGCTCTTAAGAGCATGAAAAGAAATATCTTTACCAACATGGCGTAGGAGTGCCTTGCCAATACTGTGGTCAGAAAGATAGGCAGTAGAGGAAGTCAGTCGTAAAGTGAAGAATTTAGTCCACTGTGCAGTCTGAAACTGAGCATGGAAAGGTAGTGAAGGACGAGTCGATCTTTTCTGAGAAGAACGAGAAGGTGGAGAAGTATCATCAGCAGGTAATTGTTGTTGGCGTTTAGGCGTGGGACCAGAGTTGGTGCGACGTGGAATGGGTCGGCGATTCGAAAATTGCCGCACCATAGAGGGAGAGGCCGGAAGCATAGTCAGAGGAGAGCGAAAGTCAGATAAATCGAAGGAGTCAGTCGAGGCCTCAGTACCTGAAGCGGGTGAGGAAACAGCACCGGCAAGAGGTACAGAGGCATGAGGAGTGTCCGAAGAGTGGTCCAAAGACGATGCGGGGTCAGAACGGGGTGTGGTATCAAGAAGGGGCCCGGGGGTAGCAGGTTCATGGACTAGGGCTGCCATGGTTAGGTTACTTCTTTCTTTTTTGTTTTTAAGAAAAAAAAAAGAAAGAAGAAAAGAAAATAAAAATAAAAAAAAGAATAAAAAAAGGGGGGACCGGGGAGGGATAGTTCCTAGGAGGAATGAAAGGGCCAGAAATCTCCCTCCGCGCCCAAGAGGACCTCAGCACCGCAAGTAGCGCAGATGCAGCATAGAACCCGTGCCATACCCTACCCATCATGCCAGTAAACCGGCAACCCGGGATAGCAACCTCACATCTGCCGAGCTACCTCGGTGGACAAAAGAGAGGGCAGCCAGAAATCCGCCACAAAGCATACCTCCTTCGGCCACCACCCCCAGAATCCGAAAGGTGGCTTCCAGAGATACACCCGTCGCCCGAGAGACACCCAAAGCCACCCTCCGGGATACCGGAGAGGGATCGGGACATCCCCAGGCAATCCAGATTCCACGGCAAACTACGCCACCGCCAAGAACCTCAACGGAATGGGATGGACCCCGGTACCCTTTCCCCTACCTAGGAACTAGCGTGCCTGTGGGGGAAAAAAACAAAAAAAACACCAAAGGCCAAAAAGGAAGGGCAAAAGGGAGGGGTGGGGAGGAGGAGGAGGAAAGGAAAAAGGGGAGGATGGGATAGGGAACGGGGGATTGGGGGGTAATTAGGTTCAGTCTGAGGAAGGAGACCGACAGGTCTAATTCCTCAGACCAAGAGCCTCTTCACCACGCCAAGGAGCCCCCCTTGAAGAGGTTTCTGGCAGTAGCCTGGAACCTAACCTGCCATATAAGTGGGGCCCTACTGTATAGTAGGATTCTTGAGGTTATTGAACGCCACAAGAATATTATCATTATAATTACAGTATTTTCCATGGGGAAGTGGAGAAGAATCCTTCCTCCATAAGCCATGCATGTTATAAGAGGCGACTAATATGCCAGGAGCAAGGGACTAGTAACCCCTTCTCCTGTATAAATTATTAAATGTAAAAAGAAGAAAAGTTTTATAAGGTTTTCGAGTCCCCCTGCCTAGGGGAGACGGCTGGTATGTTGAAAAAAAAAATACGGTATTAATAAATTCATGGGGAAGTGCTAAACTGTTAGGGGTTATACAGCACCTTGAGAATTGGAGGTAATCAGGTTTCATCCAAAGCACAATATTATGAATACAGTACTTAGCTTCCTTGATGAATGAAAAGGCTTTCATATTCTGCATAGGGTCCAGTGACCTCCTCCCCCCCCCCCCCCCCCCCCATTACCCTTCTCTTGTTCTTGTCGTGCAAGTATTCCTTAGCTCAAACACATAACAAATCAGCAGTTGTTGAAGGAAGAAGGAGCACAAGCAACAAGATCTGTAGGCTGCCTAGCGGGAATTATCTAAACAATTAACACCTCAGTTATTATGAGCATTTTATAGTACACACTAGTGCTAATAAACTATCTTTAATTGAGCAAGGCTGATTGCATTTTTTGGGGGTCATTGAAGAGACTGAAAATGCCTTTTGATCTTCACACCCAAGCATTATAGTTTATAAAACCTTGTAATAAAATAATAAATGGAAGCCAATAATAATGACATTTATTTCGCTTTCACTGTGGAGTACAATGTACAAAAGAGGACATTCTGTATATATTTGATGTGTTCATTCTCACAAATGAAACTAACTTGTGCTGTTATAATCTTAAAACACAGGAGTATATAGTAGGTTATCACTTAATTTTAACCCTTGTTGATTTAGTGCTTTATTTGATTATAGTAATATTTAATTTGGTATGATTATGGTGCTGTATTGTCTTGTAACATAATCTGATGTGTATTCTCTCTGCAGGACTGTGATGGCTGGCTGCTCCAGCCACAAAGGTCAAGAAGCAAATGCCAATCCTGTTCTGCGCCTGTACTACACATCCCGCCCAGTCCTGTTTACTATGTGTGCTGGAAATGAGCTGTTTTATTCAGCACTTTACCTTCTTCATTTTACAGAAGGACCTATTATAGCAGGTGTTGGTCTTTGGCGTATGATGTCCATTGGTCTCTTTCCCATTGGTGTTTTAAAGTCAATTCTAGCTCTAATGCAAGGTTACAATGCTGCACTTAGCCTAGGAGAAATTGACGTTAAAGAACGCCTGGAAGCTGCTAAAAAATTATATTAAGGAGGCAGTTTCATTTAAATGTACAGCACTAAAGAAATTATCCTTTATAATAATGTTTATATGAAAAATTGTTTCTTTGAGAAGTAATATACAGTATTAATTAATGGAGTGTGAATTACTGTATATAACACATACCATACCCCAAGCTCTTGTCGAGGTCAACCTTGGTCTAGCATGGCACTGAATTAGTACTGGCCTTCACAGTATTTGCTTGGTGCCCTTCAGAATAGGGTTAACCTTTCCACAGATGCATAGAGGTTGAGAAAGATTTGTTATAGCTCTAGGACTAGTCAACTTTACTGAATTGTGCAACACACGCATAGGACCCAAAATCTCGAATCCATTGAAAAATCTAGAACATTTTTTTTGTGAATACATCGAGTAGTGGGTACAAATGTAGCAAGGCTGACCAATAATTTTTAATGGTACAGACACAACAGTACTGGACTCGTCTGATGCTGCTCCAGATCATGGCTTGCCTCCGAGACTGAGCTTGTGGGTTGATCTATTAGTTGTAACTGGGGACCAATTGAGGTTTACATGATAATACAGGAAGAGAATGAAATTAGTATGAGCTTGCCACTCTCCAAATGTGGTGGGAGTTAGGGAAGGCATGTCTAGTGTTCTCACTAGAAACTTGAAATCTGCTATGGTAGTGTAGTGGTCTAGAATTTCAAGAGTAGCTTTAAAACCATTTATTTCTGTGGTTGCATTGATGTATGTGTGTGTATGCATGTATATGTTCTAACCTATATGTGATTGCAGGGGTTGAGTCACAGCTCTTGTATATGGATGTATGTGCATACCTTTGTGTGTGTGTGTGTGTGTGTATATGTGTATGTGTATATGTATGTGCATGTTTATACACATACGTGCACTGTCCTATCCTCACCCATGTCTGACTGTAGTCCCCTGGCATCATGCCCTCACTGGTTGCCACCAGGCCCACTCTTCCAGCCTCAAGAGCCCCATCATACCTATTTCCAAAGCAATGTGTGTGGATCTTGCCTCTACAACTCCACTCTCCAGTTTGTTCCACTTCTTGACCACTCCATGGCCAAAGAAATACTTCCTGACATTCCTACGACTCACCTGAGTTCTTAGCTTCCAGCTCTGTGTGCATGCGTGTGTGTGTGTGTGTGTGTGTGTGTGTGTGTGTGTGTGTGTGTGTGTGTGTGTGTGTGTGTGTGTGTGTGTGTGTGTGTGTGTGTGCACGCGTGTGTGCATGTGGATGTGTGCGCGCGCGCGTGTGCGCACGTGCACACTCATCTATTTGTGGTTGCAGGGGTTGATTTGCATCTGGCCCTGCCTCTTTACTAGTCATTTCTAGGTCCACTCTCCCTGCTCCAAGAGCTTGATCATACCTCTTCTTAAAGCTGTGTATAGATCCTGTATGTGTGTGTGTGTGTGCATTATTTATTTAATTATATATACAAACATTTATACTTCAAAAGCTTTGTTCATTTCCTCAGAGGTAGAGCAGGTGTATAGGGTGGAACTGGAATTGCTCCTCTAGATTACAAGATTGAGGAGTTTCAACAGAGAAACTGATTCCTCTGAAATATAGCCCTTTTAGGGAGGGACAAGCACCTTGATGCTAATGAAAGGCTTTTGATCCAGTGAATTGGAGCCACCATCCCCTTTCTTGAATTAACCTGTTTACCTCCTATTCCCCGGGTTTAATGTTTCATATGATTATAATCATTACCTGGGATATAACATGGTATTTAATTTCCCTAACAAGATTATTGACCAGCTCTTTTAAGAACACAGAGCTAGCATGCTTTTTCTAAGGTTTAAATGCATCTGTACCTCCCCAAATATGCTGTAAATCATATACCCTACTAACTCAAATTATAAGGATACATCAATGTTTATTATATGTACAATATTTTAGATCATGAGAATTTTAACCCTGTTGTTTGAAAGAAAAAATTTTGCTGAAAAAAATTTTAAATCTGCTGTGTTTGAACCATATTTAGAAAATGATTATAAATCAACCATACATACATAATCCAAACATGCAAAAATTAATGGATTTTATTGAAAGATCATCTCAAGGGAGGTTCCTTGATGCTGCAAAGGGGCTCTTGATGTAAGGAATTGGACCTGTACTTCAATTCCTTAAATTGAGTCTGAATGCCTTCCATTCCCCAGACACTGTATAACCCCTATGAATTTAGTGCACCACCATGAATATAATAAGAATATTAAAAGTGATGAAAGAAAAAATTTCAGTTCTGCTTGAAATTATCAAGAAATATAAATATCAGTAATGTAGAGCTAATACAAGTCCACCACACGTACATAAAATGCCATATAAAAAATTGGTGCATTTTATTAAAAACAATAAAATAAATTTTAAATGAAACTTTTTTTTACCAGTTTGTACAAAGCAAATCTGAGCCTTCATACATGAATAATGAACATATAAAACCAATACATTTGAGTAAAATCAAATGGGGGGGGGAGAAATTTTTCTGAAAATGTAAAAAATCTAATCTATATATCTCGACAAGTTGGTACAAAACAAGTGACCTCGCCATACATGCATGGAGGGCATTATTTTATAGACTTGATAACGGATGATACCATTTTCTTCTTGTTTCATCAATGTCTTATTTGGTATTCCGCTGTATAACCCTTGTGGTTTAGTGCTTCTTTTTGATAATAATAATAATTATTTGGTATTCTACGTTATTTTTTGTTGGTGCAAGTTGTAGTGGGCTCATATTTTTTGGGTACAAGTTTGCAAAAAATAAAAACATGCAAATCTTTTATTTGAGTTGGTAATGAAAAAAAAAAATTCCCTGGATTTTGGAACAGCAGCATTAATGTCTGTTGTCAAATATAACAATAATGAAAATCTTTGAACCAAAATAACAATATATTTGACAAGAGCCTGTGATTGTCCTTACCCTACCTTCTTCAATTTACATAACTGACCTATCATGAATTGGTTCTGCATTTCCATTTCTTAAGTTTCTGCTGTTATTTTTACACTGTATGTAAAGTGTAACAAATGAGTATATCTTGTAAAAATAAGAAATAGAACACAGTACAGTGCTGTAGTGTATTACAGATTTTATGAGGATGGTAGAGCATAAGTACAGGCTTACCTCGCTAATATGGCAGGTTAGGCTCCAGATTGCTTCAGTACAGCAACTCTCAGCCTTGGCTTTTTTTTTTTTTCACTTGCCATTCACACAAAGCCTAAAATCACATTTACACTATCATTAAGTGTGCAATTGCACTAGGCCTAAAAATGATGCAAAAAGAAAAAATTTAAAATTGCCTAAAACCATCTTAAGAGCAAGGCAAGCACCAAAAATAATAAACATGAATACGTATTAGCGAGCGCCATATTAATGAGGTTTGTATTTTATATGTATTAATATATATTTATGTATTTATTTATATAAATATTTTAAATATATTAATATATATTTATATAGTAATTAGGTATTTTATGTGTACTTATGTAGGTACATATTTAATTTTGTTTTGAATATGCAGTTTGTTTCTAGTCTTCATGATGATAGCCAAATGAATACTTCCAAAGTTTAGCACTTGTTTTATTAACACAAACATATAATGTATTTTTAGTGATCAAGATGATAAAAAATGTATAAATCTTGGTTAATTTAAGAGGAATTGTTGTAGGCTTAAGCTTTAACGTTATAATCTTATAAACTGTTTAATATAGTTAGGGCCATTTGTATGGATGAAGAATTTTATTCATTACTTGCTGTATGACCCTTGTAGGTTTAGCACTTCTTTTTGATCATAATAATTATACATTACTTTGCCAAGCTATTTCAACATGTAACTTTTTGTATGCATATCAGTACACATATGCCTGGATGCTGTCATTCTGTGTTTTTCCCCCTTCATAAATGAGCCTAAACAGGTCAGTAAGTGTATTTGGTTTAAAATATGACTCAAGGTTATCTATATGAATATCTTACATTGAGTGTCATCATTTGTATTATATAGATAAGCTGTATAAGGACATAGTATTCCTTATTGTGGAAAAGTGTTGTTGTCTTAGTCTCCTTAATATATTTTATGTTGCTTGGCCAGCAGTGATGTAATTAATAAATGTAAATAAAATGAATTTGTCTAATTTTATTTAAAACCAGCAGGGGCAGAGTTGGAATCAGCAGAGTGTAATGGGGAAGGATAAGCATCAGTAGGAGGAAGCTGAGCTGCAGCAACAGGGTACAAAAGGGTGGAGCTGATAGCTGTATTAACAAGAGTATATTGGAAGAGGATTTGGCTTCAGCAGGGTGGTATTATTATTATTGGAAAAATGCTAAACTCAGAAATGAAAGGTAATCAGATTCAATCCAGCGAAGAATAGCATCCATATTTTTGGATCAAGTCACCTTCCTCGAGGGCAGCAACGCAGAATAGGGAAGGTGTTGTCATCAACGTGAAGCAAGCGGCAGCAAGGTATAACAGGGATGAAGTTAGCAGCAGCAGGGTACAACAGGGGTGAAGCTAGCAGCAGCAGGGTACAACAGGGGTGAAGCTAGCAGCAGCAGGGTACAACAGGGATGAAGCTAACAGAAGCAGGGTGCAACAGGGATGGAGCTAGCAGCAACAGGGATGAAGCTAGCAGCAGCATGGTACAACAGGGATGGAGCCAGCAGCAACAGGGATGAAGCTAGCAGCAGCATGGTACAACAGGGATGGAACTAGCAGCAGTATGGTACAACAGGGATGGAACTAGCAGCAGCATGGTACAACGGATGGAACTAGCAGCAGCATGGTACAACAGGGATGGAACTAGCAGCAGCATGGTACAACAGGGATGGAGCTAGCAGCAGCGCGGTACAACAGGGATGAAGATAGCATAGCCGCAGCAGGGTACAACAGGTGGAGCTAGCAGCAGCAGGGTACACCGGATGAAGCTAGCAGCAGCATGGTACAACAGGTGGAGCTAGCAGCAGCACAGTACACCAGATGAAGCTAGCAGCAGCATGGTACAACAGGGATGAAGCTAACAGCAGCATGGTACAACAGGGATGAAGCTAACAGCAGCATGGTACAACAGGGATGAAGCTAGCAGCAGCACGGTAAAACGGGGATGATGCCAGCAGCAGCAAGGTACAACAGGTGCTGAGAATATTTAAGGAATTGTAGCTACCCTCCCCTTCCTTGGGTCACACCTGATTATCTTCTGTTCTGCAAGCACTAGTTGACACCTATAGGTTCAAAATAAACTTACACTTAACACTGGCAAAACCTACTATACGTATTATGTTTGGTAGCAGAGCTAGTGTTGCGCAACCTAACATTAAGATCGACAACACTCTAATTGCCAGACATAATGAGGGCAAATTCCTTGGCCTATACCTCGACAACAACCCAAATTTCAGCACCCATATCCAACACAACAAAAAAAAGTATCCAAAACAGTGGGGATCCTCTCCAAGATACGATACTACGTGCCGCAAACTGCCCTTCTCACACTATACCATCCATACCTCACCTATGCTATCTGCGCTTGGGGTTCAACTGCAGCAACACACCTAAAGCCAATAATAACCCAACAAAAAGCCACAGTAAGAATAATCACTAAATCCCATCCATGGCAACACCCCCCCCCCCCCCCACTCTTCATAGATCTAAACTTACTCCCTGTTCAGAACATCCACACTACTACTGTGCAATCTATATCTACAGGACCTTAAATTCCAATATTACCTGTGGCAAATACTGTATATATTTTCTGGAAATACGGTAATTTATAGGTAAATAGATGCCCTATATTGTATTTTTAAAAGAAGCATGTTATCGAAAAAAAGGAGAGACTCACCATCTTGGTTTTGAATTTTGTACAAACGTTGGTGTAATGGGAAGAATTTTTCGTGCTCTCGAGGTTAAAATTGTGTTGACACCTCTCAAATAGGAGGTGAAATTGGTGGATGTGCATTCCTGCATAACTTGAGATATCAGACGACTGGACAAGACAGCTCCAGGAACCTCAGATAAGCTCTCTAGATTTGTGTGTAATTCTGGCCAGCATTATTTTCATAGATTTAGTTAGAGTGAGGTTTTCTGAGTATGATACACATTAATCTCCAGTCAAATTGGTGAGTGATATTAAGATATATTTTCCTTCTGTTATGTAATTGTGTATATATATAACCATTTATTATTTTTAATATACAGTCCACAAATTTATATATTTACCAGTATTCCTGGTGTATGTATATTTCATTTAATTAATAGGTCCAGAGCAACTTGTGGTTATGACAGTGGTAGGTATTGAAGGGGGACATTTTTTGCGATCTAGGTGTCCCAAATTCCTACTTGTCCATGTAACATTGATAAATAATAATTATCTTTGTTATCATTTACTGTTATGTACATAATTAGTTACATTCAGATAAATGCAATTTTCCACATTTAATTTGCCCGTTGGTCCTTCTTGAACTGAAGGTAATTAGTGAAGTCATTAATTGGTTAATTACTTAATAATTATATGTGAAATGACAGAAGGAGGTGGATGTTAAGTTCACAAATTTATTTAATGTGTAGTGGATTGTAATTATTACAATATTAATTTTGATAAGTCAAGTCTGGCTAAGTTTATATTAATTTGTATAATATTAATTTGATAAGACAATTCTGGCCAAGATTTATATCAGTGTATGTGTAATTGATAAGCCAGGTGTTGCTAATTATATTAATGTGTATAATATTAATTTTACTTAATGTGCAGTGGATTATAATTATTGCAATATTAATTTGATAAGACAATTCTGGCCAAGATTTATATCAATGTATGTGTAATTGATAAGGCAAGTGTTGCTAATTATATTAATGTGTATAATATTAATTTTGCTATGCCAAATTCTGGCAAGGATTTATATTAATTTGTATAATAATTTTGATAAGCCAAGGCTGGCTAAAGGTTTGTATTAATGTACATTTAAAATTTATATATAAATTTCTTACATGTGTAATTGCTAAGCTCAAGTGTAGCTAACATTATTAATGTGTATTTAAAATTTATATTACAATTTTTTACATGTAATTGCTGAGCTCAAGTAGCTAGAATTTATTTAAAGGTAAGTTGTACTATTTACCTTTATAAAGTGCATAATTTAGTACATAATCAGTGTTATTAAGTTGAATTTAATGCATTGCATCATGGCTGAAAATGAGGAAATTAATGTAGAAGACAAACATATGAAATATAGAGCAAAGAAAGCATCTCTGCAAGCTAGAAAGAGGCATGTAACAAAAGCATACAATAAATGTTTGGAATTAATGAATCAAGAAACTGTGAATACTGATGATTTAATATTGTATTTAGATGCTTTAGGCAATAGATATGATTCATACAAATTATATTACAACAAATATGAAGGAGATTTATTAGTAAACTGTGTAGATGAGACTGAAGTAGATCTCATAATTAATCAGTATTATGAATTAGAGGAAAAGATTCTTTCTTGTAAAAGTCAGGCCTTCAATAAATTAAAATGTGTAAACTAGGCAGTTAATCAGTCTGCTCCAACAAATAATATGTCTTTGCCAAAACTCCCAGAACTATGTTTACCTGTATTTAATCCTGGTGAAAATTGGGAGGAATTTTGGTCAATTTTTAAAGCAGCTGTGCATGACAAGAGTGACCTAGCCTGTGTAACTAAATTATTTTACCTCAGAGGACAGGTAAGAGGAGATGCTCACATACTCATACAAGCCTTTCCCAATGTAAATGACTTACAAGGAAGCAGTTGACTTGTTGAAGGTCACTTATGGTAATATAGAACAAAGTAGGTTGGATCTAGTCAATATCATTGTTAATTTAAAATCCCCAGATCACACTTACAAAGGTTTACAGCAGCTTAGAGTTAAACTGGAGAGCACTCTCAAAACTTTAAGTAATAAATATAATCTGAAGGAATCAGACTGGTTATTGAGTGCCATGATACAGAATAAATTAAACTATAAAACATTTGAATGACTCTCAAACAAATATCACAAGGGTTATTTTGGTCTGGAGGAAATAAGACTAGGTCTACAAGAATTGATTGTGCAGTTGCAGACCAGCCAACTAACTCATTTTAAAGATGCAACACATGATAACTCTGAGGTATCTGCCAAGTTTCACAAAGGGAAAAATTATCCTAATGTTAATAATCAAAATTCATTTCCAGGAACAGCTGTTAAAAATTGACCACTGTCTGGAAAATCTTCCAGCTCCTGCACCCAACATCTTGCTCCTGGGGGATTTCAACTTAAGGCACCTAAAATGGAGGAATATAGCAAATAATATTGTTGCAGTAATAACACCAGGAGGCAGCTCTGATGAAAACTCACACTCACACGAGCTTTTAAATCTCTGCACAAAATTCAATTTAAACCAGCAAATAATAGAGCCTACTACAATAAGTGTCAGGGGCCCGAGACTCTTCAACTGCCTCCCAGCACACATAAGGGGGATTACCAACAGACCCCTGGCAGTCTTCAAGCTGGCACTGGACAAGCACCTAAAGTCAGTTCCTGATCAGCCGGGCTGTGGCTCGTACGTTGGTTTGCGTGCAGCCAGCAGCAACAGCCTGGTTGATCAGGCGCTGATCCACCAGGAGGCCTGGTCACAGACCGGGCCGCGGGGGCGTTGACCCCCGAAACTCTCTCCAGGTAAACTCCAGGTAAACTAGACTGGAGAATACACTAGACCTCATCTTCACTAACAATGATGATCTGATAAGAAATGTCACCATATCAAAAACAATATACTCAGATCACAACATAATAGCGGTTCAGACATGTATGCGTGGAGCCCCAGACCGACATAATGAGACTAGTCACGAGGGAGCATTCACCAAATTCAACTTCAATAACAAAAACATAAAGTGGGACCAAGTAAACCAAGTCCTAACCGATATAAGCTGGGAAGATATACTAAGCAACACAGACCCCAACTTATGCCTAGAACAGATTAACTTGGTGGCACTCGATGTATGCACAAGGCTTATTCCTCTAAGAAAAAGGAGGAGTAGATGTAAAATAGAAAGAGACAGGCGCTCCCTTTACAGGCGACGGAAAAGAATAACAGAGCGGCTAAAAGAGGTCAATATATCTGAAATGCGTAGG